AAAACTTAATATTTCTAAAATAGACATTAAATAAATTTATACCTTCAGCAAGGAGATCATGGATTATGACCTGCAATTCTTGAACTTGGGTGACTACAGCCTTACTGTCTATCATCTTATAGTCCAGAAATTTTGTCACAATAAATTTCTTCATTTCGGCATCTTCTGTTTTGTACTTCTTTTCTAAAGCATCCCAGAGTTCTTTTGAGGTTTTGGCATTGTTGTACACATTGTACAGATCATCTTGCAGACCACTCAAAATATAATTTTTACACAAAAAATCTGAGTGTGTCCATGCTTCTGTTACCAAGAATCGTTCATCAGCCGGAGTTTCATCTGACATAACAGGAACATTCTCATTAATGAACTTCTGCAGACTCAATGTGGTGAGATAGAAGAACATCTTTTGCTACCATCTCTTAAAGTCGACTCCAGAAAACTTTGCAGGTTTCTCAGTCGGCGCTAAGGCAGCATTTGAACGATTATGTGCAACCGATATTGTTGCAGCACTTACTGTTCCAGCATTTGTTTGACTTGAATTAGTCATTTTTTTTCTTATAAGTTAAGTATTTGAAATACTAACAGTAAAGAACAAATCTTTACACAAATTGTTTCTGATTTAACGATAAAGTTTTTATGTTCTTTTAATCGTTAATCGAATGAATTTTAAAAATCCAAGCGGAGTAGAAAATCATAAAGGTTTTATCTCCAGAAACCTCAAATACAGAAACTGTTAAATTTCTTAAGATTGTTATTCTTACAATTATCTGTATTTATAAGAGATAACTTTAACAGGATTTATTTGATTTAACAAAAACTGATTAAATAAATTTTGTCCAAAAAATTTATCAATCAATCACATCATTTGCCGAATCCAAAGCCAAAGCCGAGGCCGAGCGAGTGACGACGACGACGGCGCGAGGGAGCATCTTCTTCTTAGCTCTTTAAGAATTAATGGAGTGTTTCCTTGTATAAAGACAACAATTTCCCTTTCTTTTGCCGATATGAGAGAAATGACTTTTTATTTGCACTTTGCAAATGATTTTTCATTTTCCCTCCAAAGTAGTTCCTCACTTTTCATATTCTCTCTTTTCTTTTCCCATTCACACTTGTTAAATCCCAACAAGAACATCATCACATAATATCCATTGAAAAGTTAATTGCCCAAAGTCAATATCATTGGTTGTAGTTGGACTTATAAGTCCTAAACCTATGACTCATAGCTCATGACTCTAATATAATATGGATAAATATAATTTTTCATATTTTTATTAGTAATTCGTTTGTATCCATATTATGAGTCGAATTAGATAATTTATTCATTTTTATTTAACTCATTTTTTAATCGATTCATATTCAACTCGAATCGACTCGCTCATTTGTCATTCTTAATCCTGAGTTATTTTGCCAATACTCCCATATCCTTTGGTGGTAACAGTCAAACTCATTTTAGAGTTATTATTTGCACAAAGTTGACCTAATAGAAATCTTACAAGTGTTTTGTAATTAAAATGAGATTACATTGAAATAATAATTAAAATTAAAATTTCGGTACTAGATGTAGACATTAATTATTATTCTTTTTTGAAAAATCTAATTAGTCAGTGACTAGTAATAAAGATGAAGGCACATCATTATCCTGTGAAAACATCATAAGAAATTTCAGCTTCAATGTTATCGAAATGTCATATACTATTTTGGGACCTAGATCGAGTACAACTTTAATTTCAACTCCACCCCAATCGTACAAAACCAAAAACAAAACGTATTATTGATGTAAAAATTATTTATGCAATGAAATATATTTCGATGAGAAGATATTAACTCGTAACATAATAAGAATGGTAAGTGACGTGTTATTACAAGTTAATTTATATTGTTACAATGTATTTACTTACTCAATTTCGGTAAGAAATCATAGGTGCATTCCTTTTAACGCTATATAAAAAAGTGCATTATTTACATCATATTATATTTTCATCTCAGTTCTCTATTTCTTTTTATCCTTCTTCCTCATGCGTTATACTTTTAATTAAAATTCCCATGAACTCTCTATTTGGTTATACTTTTTGGTAACAAAACCAAAAGTTCTCTTTCTGATTGAGAATCACCGTCGTGCGTTCAATCGAGTTTTGCTTTCTTCCGTCATGTCAGGCGAGCCAGTACAAGCGCCTTGAATACTAGCCATTTTTGCATCAAGAGGGCAACACTTTGTTGGGCTTCATTCATCAGTAAATATAAAACTTTTCTTTATTGCTCTATTTCTATTATTATAGCATTTTTTTTTACAATTAAAGTGTTGTGAGTAACATTTTTTCATGAAAAGTAGTATCACTTTGTTCATGAAAATACGAGGTAAATTTTTTTTCCTTTACCACTTCTCTGTACTTGAATTGAACAAGTAAAAAAATATTTTACCATACACCTCTTCTCTTCCATCTCTTGAAGAGAGCGACGTTGAACGAAATTATTTTGAAATTTCCTATCTTCATATTCACACTTTCCAAACTGAAACAAAAACACGATTCTCCTTAAAATTATTGGTGTAATATACCAAAATATAAAATATTATCGTTGAAAATAAAATGAACAAAAATGAATGAATAATAATTTCGGTTAAGACATGACTCGCTCTCTTCAAGGAAATTCAAGCCTATTGCGGCACAATCTACACCGATTCAACAGTATTACTTTTGACGTGTCTCCTCCAGGATACAACAACCCAACAACGTCGTACAACTCTAGCTCCAGATTAGTTGAAGAGTTCAAAGTTCCACATAAGAACACCTTCCTTAAACTGTTAAACATATAAATATTCTCTTTTGTATAGTGAATATAGTTGAAGGCTTAGAATATTTTTTGTCTCAATTTTCTCTTTCACTACACTAATCTCAATATAAACACAATACGATGGTACTAAAGTTTTTCACTCTATATTTTCTTGTGCTTCTCTTGTTCTTTCCACAAAGTAAAACCATTACTATTTATAGGTGATGAATTCTTCCTTACAATGAATAGGAAGACAATGTGTAGTAAATTGGGCAGATGAATGACGTAATTTTTACATAAGTTACAAGAATAATTAGGTAGACTGATGAGTGAAATTAAGAGTTGGTGGTTACATAAGTTACTAACAACTAATGACCAATTTCTTCCACAATTGATAAGAGTAAACAAATACAAATATAATGTCCACCAATAAGCATAACATGATACATAATGTGACATATTTGGTGGTTACATAAGTTACTAACAACTAATGACCACTTTCTTCCACAATTGATAAGAGTAAACAGATACAAATATAATGTCCACCAATAAGCATAACATGATAGATAATATGACATATCATATATTTTTAATACTATTAAAACGTCATACTAACAGTCCCACTCTCTTGCCTAGGTTCCTTCTCACAATAGTTTCATATCATGAGCGTTCTAGGATTTGTAAGGTTGGATATTTCGTGATTTGTCTAGTTATGTTATTACTTGCCTAGATTTTTTAATGCCTTCTACGGATGAAGACGTGAACTTGTCTTGAGTAACTTGTAACGGCTTAATCCGCTAGTGATATTGTTCGTTCTGGCCTTAGGCTTACACAATTTTAAAACACATCACTAGTTGCTTAGTTCTGTTTACTTATATACCCAATATCTCTCATATTTTATTGATGTGAAACTTCTTATCTTAAGTTGGAATATCACATAAATCCCGTAGAAAGTTTCAATCTTCATTTCAGGTTTTATTCCAATTTTTCATTTCAGTATACCAACTATCTATTTTATATCATGTCGCAACACATGACCTACATCATCCTGACATAATCTTATAAGCTTTAAACCGTGAAAAAATAATGTTAATGTTTTTTATTTTTAATTTATAAAAAAGTACATGTAGAGATATATATAACCCTTCTCATAATTATTTTTTGACTTCTTGATTAATATTATTTGAGTTTCTCATTCTAATTTCACTTTTGTTGTAGTTTATAATGCGAAAACGTGAGAACTAAATAAAAGAAAGAAGTGTGAATGGAAAAAGAGAAAAAAAAAAAGTAAGAACAAAAATTGAAACCATTTTTTGCTGGTTATCTTATAATCTATTTTTTGTATTTGTTAAAAAGAAAATTGGGGCATCAATGATAAATTTTACAAGAAAGTTAGTGAAAATATAATTTTCACCATAAAAAAATAAATTCAAATTAGCCGTTGAAAAACACGAGAAAGATTAAATCTACCCCTACATGATTTTTTTAAATAAAAAAAAAATTCACTGTCATTAAAAAAAAGGGTTTACGTGAGTCATTTGTATAACAGTTAAAATATATATGAATCATTTTTATAACGAGAAGTAAATAATAAAAGTTTTTTTCCAAGTTAGTTTGAAGGTAAAGACAGATTTTGATGTGTTTGTTTTTTTTCTCTTGCTATATTAGTGATGTGTATAAATTAAAAATTTTCAAAGTCATCAGTCCCTGTTCAATCAGTCTTCTTTTTTATTGTGAAAAAAATGTCTTTTTGATGAATCAAATTTGTGAATTTTGACTCAGGTGGAATATGGATTCGGGGGATGATGACTCTGTTTCAAAGAGGAGGACTAGACAACAATCTATTAAGAAAAGGGCCAAGTTAAATAAGAAGAGGAACAGATTGAGTCGAAAGACTTGTTCTGTGAATGTGAATAGTGGAGAGGATGTTCGTCGTGGGAGGAAAAGAAAAACGGTGGAGCCTTCGCGAGGTGACAAGAGAAAATCAAAGAATGCAAGGGTGGTAAGAAATGTGGGAAACAATGGGAGGAGGAAGTTTAGTCCAGGAACTTGTGAGTCCATCACGAAACGGCCTTTCATCGAGGAAATGTCTGATGATGATTCTGAGGAGGAGAGTGATCCTGATTTCGTTATCGTTGAGGAGGAAGAGGAGGAGGCTGTAAATACGTCAGGATCATCGTCCAATGTTGGGTTAACGAGTCCTGTGTTGAATGCAGCAGAGGAGGTTGTTTCCTCTACCTCAAGCATGTGTAGCACAAATGATGAATCTGAAGACTTGACTGATACAACCTCATTTTCTGAGTCGGAATTTGAATCTTCAAGTGATGATATTGATAGTGATGACCTCAAAGACAAGAATAACCGGGTGGTTGAATCATCGAGTTCGGATGATATAAGCAGTGATTTTGATGATGAGGAATCAGAACAGGATGATCGGAGCTATTCTAAAAAAAAAGAGGAAAAAAGAAGTCAAATCGGGGACTAGTTGATGACGGTGAAAAGCACAAGAAAGGCCGAGCATATATTCTTCGGCCACGCTCACTTTCCAAGTCCAAAAAGAAGAAGTTAAACCATGGAAATTTTAGTGGAGTGATTCTTCCTAGTGATGATTCCAAAGACAAGAATAACCGGGTGAATGAATCATCGAGTTCTGATGAAATAACAAGTGATTCTGATGATGAGGAATCAGAACACGATAATATGAGCTCTCTTAAAAATGATGAAGAAGGAAAAAAGGATTCAAATCGAGGACTAGTACCTCAACGTGTTGTTGAGGGTGAAAAGCGCAAGAAAGGCCGAGCATATATTTTTCCGCCACGCTCACTTTCTAAGTCCAAAAAGAAGAAGTTAAACCATGAAAATTGTAGTAAAGCGACTCTTCTTATTGATGACCCCAAAGACAAGAATTACCGGGTGATTGATACATCGAGTTCTGATAAAATAAGAAGTGGTTCTGATGACGAGGAATCAGAACATGATGATCTGAGCTGTCTTAAGAATAATGGAGAAAAAAAGAAGTCAAATGAGGAACTTGTATCTCAGCTTGTTGTTGACGGTAAAAAGCACAAGAAAGACCGAGCATATATTCTTCCGCCACACTCACTTTCTAAGTCCAAAAAGAAGTTAAACCATGGAAACTGTAGTAGATCGAATCTTCTTAGTGAGGCCCCCAAAGACAAAAATTACCGAGTGATTCAATCATCGAGTTCTGATGAAATAAGAAGTGGTTCTGATGATGAGGTATCAGAACATGATGATCTGAGCTATCCTAAAAATAATGAAGAAGGAAAAAAGAAATCAAATGAGGGACTAGTAGCTCAGCTTGTTGTTGACGGTGAAACGAACAAGAAAGGCCAATCATGTATTCTTCAGCCACGCTCACTTTCTAAGTCGAAAGAGAAGAAGTTAAACGATGGAAATTTTAGTAGACCGATTCTTCTTAGTGATGACGAGGAGTCTAAATCCTTGTCTGAAGAGGACTGTGAGGTTGATGACTCCGCGAAAAATATTGTTCAAAAGGATGTTACTCAAAAGACTCGGAAGAACACTCTTGAAGATTCTGAATTTCTGAAGTTTGTTGTTGATTCTATAATAAATGTTGATGATCATGATAAATTCACTCCTCAAGAGAAGGAACTTGTTCCTGTCAAAGAAACACTTCCTTTAGTATTCCGATTTGAAGATGAGGAACCTCTCCCCCCGGAGAAAGAAGAATGGGAAAAGGAAATCGAAAATCTTTTTGTTGAAATGGACATGTGTATCTTAGAATCAGATATTGGCTTTACGAATCAATCTGTTTCGCTGATGCAGGATGGAGACATAAGTGGCTGTGAGATGGGGAACCACCATCTTGTGCTAGATGAACAAATTGGACTCATCTGTAAAGTTTGTTCGCACGTGCATTTGGAGATCAAGTACATCTTCCCTCCATTTGTAAGTATACAAGCTTTGTCATCCTTATATTTGATTTTATAAACTCCACTCTATCAATTTATTTTTGGTTCACTCTTAAAATCTTGAATTTATGTAATCTGCAGGCTGACAGAACTCGAGGGAGGAATGGAAGAAAATATTGTAGAGAGTCGCCATCACTTTTGGATGTTGACGACTTTAGATTTTCTGATTCTTCCACAGTCCATGATTCTCCTGTTTATGAAGAAGGAACAGTTTGGGATTTAGTTCCGTCAAATGCCAAAGCAACAATGTTTCCTCATCAACGTGGAGGATTTGAGTTCATGTGGAAAAATATTGCTGGAGATATAATTCTTGAGAGACTGAGAGAGCCCCTATCTGATGGTAAGGGAGGATGCATAATCTCACATCCACCTGGAACCGGAAAAACCCGACTCACCATAGTATTTCTTCAGTCATTTCTAAAGTTGTTTCCAAAGTGTCGGCCTGTAATCATTGCTCCTTCCAATCTGCTTCTTAACTGGGAAACCGAGTTCCATAAATGGGAGGTGGACATTCCCTTCCACAACTTGAACAACAAAGATTTCTCTTTCCAGGAAGATGAAGCTACTGCTAGTGTCTTCCACTGTTTATCCCAAGCCGGAAGAAAAAATCCACAGCTTATACGTATGGTGAAGCTGAGATCCTGGGCTAAAAGTAAGAGTGTTTTGGGAATCAGCTATGACTTGTTCAGGATTCTAACGGGAGGTGATGGAGATGGGTATGCCAAAGAGATTAGAGAAATCCTTCTAAAATTACCTGGTCTTCTGATTCTTGAAGAAGGGCACACTGCTCGGAATGAGCAAAGCCTTGTGTGGAAAGCTTTGAAAAAAGTTGAAACCGAGAAGCGCATACTTTTGTCTGGTACTCCGTTCCAGAATAACATCAAAGAGTTGTACAATACTCTCTATGTAGTTAGTCCGAAGTTTGCTTCAGATTTGGAGCAGAAATGGGCTTCTCTTAGTAGTTCCATTGACAAAAATGCCCGAGCTTTGGAAGAGCTTAGGGATATTATTTCACCATTTGTTCATAGATGTAGTGAAAATGTAAAGAAGGTAAGTCTTCCGGGTATAAGGGATACAGTGATACACTTGAAGCCGACAGATTTGCAGAAGGAATTGCTTAAAAGAATTCCAGAGAATCCAGGCTCGTTTTACGAACAAAATCTGGTGTCTCTGATCTCCGTCCATCCTTCATTAGTGGCAAAGAGGAAGGAGTTCTCTGAGTCAGTAAGTCATCTAAAAGAACAAAGATGTCGGTTGGATCCAGATATTGGAGTGAAAATGAAATTTGTTGTGGAACTAATCAAACTCTGTGGTGGGCCGAAGGAGAGAGTTATAATATTTAGCCAGTTACTTGATCCTCTAAACCTGATCAAGGAGCAACTCAATTCTCTCTTCGGCTGGACTTTAGGCCGCGAGATTCTCTATATGGATGGGAAACTTGATGTAAAGCAGCGACAGCTATCAATAAATTCTCTTAATGACCCTAACAGTGATGTAAAAGTGCTTCTTGCATCGATAAAAGCATGTTCGGAAGGAATAAGTCTTATAGGGGCCTCAAGAGTGGTTTTGCTTGACGTTCTCTGGAATCCCTCAGTACAACAGCAAGCCATCAGTCGAGCCTACAGAAATGGTCAGACTAAAGTTGTGCATGTTTACAATCCAGTGATATCAAAATGGGAGGTTGACAAGATCGAACAACAGACAAGAAAAAAATATCATTCAGATGTACTTTTGTCTAGGAACGAAGTCAAGATGGATCCTTCACCTTCCGTTTCAGAGGATGACATACTAGAATCCATGGTTAAGCATGAGGGCCTCCGTCATATTTTTGAAAAACTATCTCATGCACCATGTACTACATGATTGTAACCAACCAAACAATAAGGTTAGTATTACTATCATTAACTGCAGACTATGGAAACAAACTCTTGCAGAAATGCAAAGTAAGACTGCATATAATAGACTCTTGTGGTCCAGTACCGACCTGCCCTTTTATCATTAACTAGAGATGCGTACACTTAACCAAATTATTACTGCTATAAGTTTCGTTGGTTGTGGAGAGTTGTACTCTTATACCTGTTTCGTTGTTTTCAAATTGCAATTCTTAGAGAAGGATTTCTCTAAGCCATGACAATTTAGATGAGAACGTGCTACAAACTCTACTTAATTGTTGTCCCTTGATTGTCAGTTTCATCTTGAATCAATGTTGGGGGTCGAAAAGATTGAGTTGTTGAATCTTCAAAAGATTAAGTCAGTTTCCATTAAGAACTAAATGTTTAGGCATATCAAATGTGCCAATATCTGCAGAACATTATTACAAACTTCACCCTGTTCCCTTAAACAGGCAGCACATTGATGAAATGTGGAGAGCTTTACTTTATTTTGACTCTTCCATCATGAGGATTAGAGGTTCATTCTGTATGCTTTGCTTTTAATTGACATTGGTGTTTATTTTCTGTGTTGTGCTTTGATATTCATGTGCTTATTCAAAGCTTATGTGCTCATAAAGACTAAGATTACATCTGATACATATGAGAAACTCCACTTTTTATGATTTCGATTCAGTAGTCAAAGCAAATGCTAAAAGTAATTCCGAGAAAAATTAAGCCGGTATCTAACAGATGCAACTAACGAAGACAGAGTAAAAGAGCAAAGAACAAGACAATCAAAGCATAATAGTCATGGGACTATTGCAATATTATTACTTATTACTAGACAAGTTGGGTCTTCCAATAAGCCTTTCATCTCAAACCTCTCTTCTTTCGCCTTCTGTTTTTGAGCGGAATGATCCCTTCAAGAAACCATTTTGGTTTACTAGATTTAAACATGACAGTTCCAACAACTAATCCACAACTGTAACCTATGACCACTGATTCCCACGTAAATCCACTAGCGAAATATGACTCATCATCTTCTTCTTCGGACTCCAATGGTTGAGGAACATGTGATGCATCACTCATCCCACATTTCTTTGATAAAGGAGGACCACATAAATCAAGGTTGCCACCATACGAGTCATTTGAAAATGTGTTGAACTGTGAACCTTGAGGAATCGGTCCAACGAGAACATTCTGAGACAGGTTGAAGACTGCCAGGAATTCTAGTCTAGTCAGTTCCCTTGGAATCTTTCCAGTGAGCCAGTTCCATGATAGATCTAAAGCTTCAAGCGTATTCATTTGTCCCAGTTCCGTTGGAATATCTCCTCTGAGATCATTATGGGATAAATTGAGTAGCCAAAGTGAGCTAAGATCTTTTAACGCTTTGGGAATCACGCCATCAAAATGGTTGCTTGAGAGATCTATGACTGTCATGATTGTGGTGATTCTTTCTAGATCAATATCCTGGCCTTTGATCACCAACTTCACTGAATCTATATACCTTATGTTCACGTCAAGATGTGGTTCCATATATTTGATCGTACCTTTGTTCGTGTCATCTAATTTGATCATTGCTCTGAAGTTTCTAAAAACTTGTGGAAGCAATGAACCATTGAATTCGTTACGAGAAACATCAAGGATCCGTAACATGGGAAAGCAAAATTCAGTCTGACAGGCACTTATAGGTCCGTAAAACTTGTTTGACTTTAATATAAGGACCTGCAGTTGTTGAAGAGATCCTAACCAAGTTGGAAATGTACCATTTATACTGTTATTTCCTACATCAAGGATTTCTAAGGAATTACAGTTGAGCAACGACATCGGGACAGGTCCTTCAAATTGATTACCATTCAAGACAATGGTTCTCAAATGTGAAGTGGTCCGACTACATAACGTTGGAAGACTCCCTCTGAAACTATTGCTTCTCAAGTCCAGCACAAATAGACTATCCATGTTTCCCAAGCAATGTGGAACCGAGTCAGTAAAGTAGTTGTGTGATAAATCTAGAAAGCTAAGGCTACTCATTTTACAAATGGATGAAGGCAGTGGACCTTGAAGAAAGTTAAACTTAAGATCAAGAGAGTTTAGATTATAGAAATGTAGTTGTTCTAGGTGTCCTGTAAGTGAATTATGTGAAATGTTTAGGTGAGACAATGAGTCCCATTTCATGTTACTAAACCAGTTAGGGATTGTGCCATGAATCTTATTATTAGAAAGATCTAAGACGCGTATGGTCTTTATACCTCTCAAGAAGTGTGGAAAATCTTTTAGTTCACAAGATGAAAACAACAAAACTTCTAGGTAAGGAAGAGTGAGTTTGCTACCTTTAATACTTTTCCTCCATGAAATATGATTGTAGGAAAGATCAATATAGTCGAGTCTTTGCATGGTCGAAAAGAATTCTATTCCTAAATCATCGGTGATGTTATTTGATGAAAGGTCAAGTGTGGCTAGGTTTATGAGATTTGCAAGTGATGGAGGAACAGGACCACTGAGCTGATTATGACTTAAATCCAAATCCTTTAATGTTGGGTTCATTTTGAGCTCATCCGCTACTCCACTTAATTGATTATGATGGAGCTTCAACGGATTTACCAAAGGGATGCTAAAAACCCAAGACGGTACTGTGCCATTCAACGAGTTGTTAGACAAATTCAGATCAGATAGCTTCTGGAGCATGCTCGTACTGCTAGGTAGTGGACCCGATAGAGAATTACTCGACAAGTCTAATCTTTGAAGACATGTCAAGCTTAAAATGGATGGAGGAAATGAACCGGTAAATCTATTATTAGAAAGAACCAAATCAGCTAGCACTTGGAAGTTTGAGAATATATCCGGAATTTCACCTCCAAGGGAGTTAGACCAAAGATCTAAAAGTATGAGTTGCTTCAATTTAGAGATTGTTGAAGGAATGTGCCCGGTGAAATGATTATCACCAAAATCCAACTGCCTCATCTGTGTGAGATTCCCAATGGAATCAGGAATGGAACCAGAGAAGTCACATTCCCTGAGATTCAAATATTTTAAGTTCCTCAAGCGGCCAATATCATTTGGAAATGAAGACCAATTGAAGTCATTGCGAGCAAGGTTTAGTGATTGAAGATGATAGAGTTGGAAGAGGCTGCTGTTGGGATGAATAGTTCCACGAAGGAAACTACAACTAAGGTCTAGACCAATAACATAACCCGTTAACATATCACAAGTGACTCCTTCCCAAGTGCAACAATCTGTACTCTCATTCCAAGAGATTGTTTTAGGAAAAGAAGCTTTATAACATCGACCGGGGGGAGAGATTTCAAAGAATTGATTGAATTGAAGCAAAGCAGAAGCTTCACTAGGAGAGCATAGATGATGCACAAAAGAAGAAGAAACACTTTGACATAATAACACAAAACAGACAAGTGAAAAGAAGATGAATAGATATCCCATTTTTTTGTGTTTATGAAAATAATAATCATATTCCATATATTTATATAGTTGATTAAACTGCCAAGCATTGACAGCAATCAAGTCCTTAATCTTGGCCCCATTAACATTGCTTTTAATAATTTTCCAAGTAATTAGTGGTCTTTCCACTAAGTTACTAATTCTACATTCATATTAATATTCTAATGAAAGCATTAGGAGAATGTTGACCACTAGTCTTTACCAAATTGAACTGTAAGTCCAACTTTTTCTTGTTTACATACTGGGGAATTGTTCTCATTCCACCAGAGAGACTGACTTGACTTGGGTCAATAGACTGCACATATTAGTGAGTTTCTATTTTAAAAAATTCAACGCAAATAAACTAACTTAACTTGAATAACCATTTGATACTAAAATAACAAACATATAATTCTGTTTCTTTCAAACATACATATACTCTGTCATCTCTTTTAGTAATATAGTAAGTATACTAGCTCTGAAAATGTATGTTGCGCATTTATTCCTTATTATTATTATTGAACTTGTCCGCACTTAATTTGCCCAAACCTTATTCTAGGGCACTAATTCGTATCACTTTGTTAGAATCCTTCACATATATTGTGTCACGAAATACCAGTGTTGCTTGTTTCCCTGGGCTCTACTCTAGAACAACATTACTTGTTACCATCCATGCTTTATCTAGTGTCCTATACTTGATTTGGGGCCCGAATAATCCGGATTAGGGCGGGAAGTCTACTTTAGAGGGTCAAGGCGACTGTATTCTTAGGGCTCAAACTCGAGACTTTTGGGTAAAGAGACTCTACCACAATTTTTAATTATATCTTTTTTGGTAACTAACTTTAACTTATTTATACCAAGTGATGCTTCTTTATAAACCATCTGAAGGGGGAGTACTTGTTGGACACAGTGATGAGTTACACCAGTTGATCCACCACGTACTGAGAAACCTGGTCAGTAATCATCACATATTACTAGGGAATTTGGCCGCGCTTCGCGCGGTCTTTAAAATAAAAATTAAAGGATTATTTTTTTTCAATCAATTGTATAACTCTCTTTATTTTCAAACATAATATTATCACTTTATTTTATTTTTTTACTATATATTAATTATGAAGATCGTTTTGAGATGACGATCAAAATGAAACTTAAATTTAACATCTATAATGAGGGATAGTACATTATTAGTCAATATATCAAATGTCAATATATATTTTCTTAGTAATTTTTTATTTGGACAGGTAGTTAATATGTCACTTTCTACCTTTTATTGGAATATCAATGAATTTGAATGTTTATATTACAACATATAATTCGATGTACTTTTTTTCTTGAGTATATAAGAATTATATTATAAATAACTGAAAAATACTAATAAAATACATCTACACGTCTTATTATCCTTTTTCATATTGATATGATAAAACTCTTTTGAATATTTCGTTTTTCAATCGTTTTTGTTCCTTTTTCAAATATACAATTTAAATTTGTATGATTTTTGCATGAATCACATCTATGGCTATTTTAGATTCTTTAGTTGCATCTATATCAAATATAATTGTTATCATTTGTCAAATTTATTTTTTAAGAATGTTATTCAAAATGTTACGCTATTATTAAGTTTCAATATATCCAACCTCGAATGAGAATATGTTTTTTTAAAAAAAAATTATTAACTCGTTTACTATATTTTAATCTATATCTTTTATATGAAATATAAAGATAAATAGATTCATATAAACTACGTAAAAATATTTGATAGATAATAAACATCTTCACATATTATGTGCATAGAATAATAAAAATTTAAAAGTTAATTAAATTGAATACTCTGATAATATGTTTCATTTCAAATATACTTCTTGCATTCTCAAATCAATGATTGCAACTCTTTCTATATAAAATTAATACATGAACACCCTAAGATG